TGAAAAGGCATCTTCAATCAACTTCAACAAAGCAAAGTCAAATTTGGGGATCACCACTTTAAATTTCAGTCTTTTATTTTCCAGTTTATTTTCTGTACCATACAGTATTTAGAGATTCCTAATCTCAGGCACTAATTAATCAAGTTTAAGGATATTTTCTATATCTTTGAATTTTACTTTATTTTTGTTGAAAAAATACATCAACACATTTGTTTTTGGCTTGGAAAAGCACAATAAATCAATGTGTTTATTTTGTATTTTTTTAATGAAGGTATTTTTATGTTAAATATAAAAAATTATATCAATAATATAAAATTAATATTTTGTGTTGAATTATTAAATTTTAATACGGTCAGACGAAAAAATATTATTTTATCTAACAAAATATCATATATCAAAATATTATTTAAATACAAAACAAACTCTACATATTTAAGTTAAGAGGGAATGAAATATATATACTACTATCATTTAATAGATACTGAACACAAATGAGAATCAACTACAGATTAATGGCATAAGATTTTTAACTTATATTGTGTGTCTTTTCTTTTCTTTCATTTCTTTTATTATTTAATCTTTTATTTTTAATTAAAAATATTATATTGAATATTTAATTTAAACTTTTTTTCTGAAAAAAAAGAGTTGGATATATCCAATAATTTTGATATATCACATTGGTTGGGTGTGTTTACTCGTGGAGTTTTAGTTTTGGATTTTGATTTTGAATAGTAAAATTTTGAATTGAAATAATTATTTGATGTGATATAAATATGTATTGATGTGATATTTTGAATATAAAATTAAATTTTAGTGTAATATAATAAATAAAAAAAATATTTTTTTGATTTGATATTTTTAGAGAATTTTTTTTTACTAGTAAAATCAAAATTAAAATTCTATGTATAAACACACCAAATATAATTAGTATTATTACGGCATCGAAGGTTTGTTTAGTTTTTATTTTGAATTTAAATTTTGATTTATAATATTTTAATATAATATTTTGTAAGAGAATATATATTATAGTAGTATTTTTATTTAAAATCGTGAAAATTAATGTATAGTACGAAGAAATAAAATAAAATTCAGATGAAAAACAAAAATTATTATTCATATGCAAAATTGCAAAAGAAAAAAGAAAATGATAAATACTCGTATATTTGTGTTGTATTTTTGAATGAAAGTATTTTTTTGTTAAGCATAAAAAATGTATCAATAATATAAAAATTAAATATTTTGTGTGAAATTGTTAATTTTTTTTTATTGAATAAAGTATATATTATATATTGTGTTCGTATATGTATATGTATATGTATATGCATTATATTTTTTAATATTTATGAAATTTTGTACCACATAAAAAATATATATATTTGGATGAACTTACAAAAAGTGTTCATCTTTTAATATTAATTATTATATCAAAACACAATACAAATCAAGGAAAAATGACAAAAATACTTTTATTAATTTCTTACAATACTAATTGAAGGATATTTGTACAAACATTTATACAGATATAAATATATTTTTAATGTTAAATACAATAACGTAAAAGGTAAATATAACGTATAGAAACAGACAAATAGAATATTATTTTTTTAGTTTATTTTATAAACTTTTGGTATCTTACAAATGGAACAAATGGAGTATAAAAGAGAAATATTTTCTAATTTATGATAAATTCAATAGTAAAAATATAATAAAAAATACAAATAAACAAATCACAATGACCGGGTTTGTTTAGTTGTAATTTAAATCAATTTGAAATGAAATATTGATTTGAATTTTTGTTTAAATAATATTTTTATTGAAAACTATACGTAATAAATAATATTGATTTTGATTTAAAATTATAAAAACACAAACCCTATATAATAATAATTATTCTTATTTAAATGGCCACATTTGACCTAATAAAAGTGAAGAATCTTAAAGTAATTTATCATATTTTTATTAATAAACTTTGTGAGGGAAAGGATGCAACTAATCTGATCAATAGTTTTAAATTTGACAAATATTATGATCGTTTTTAATTTTTCAAATATATATTTCTAAAATAATAAAATATAAACGTCAACGCGATTATTAATTATATCTACACCGACTGACGCTTTTATAATCCAAGTCAACAAATTTTAATTTTAAAAGTATTATACTATTTCCTAAAATTAAAAGAAGAAAAAAAAAAAAAAAAAAAGTAATAAGGGAAGACTTTTGTTGGTCTAATAGTTAAATATTTACTTTCAAATAGCTTATAGTATAACATTATATATATATATATATATATATATTAAAAAGAGTCTTAATTTAAATTGTAATTCTGCAATTGACTTTAAGGGTGTGTTTGTTCCGAGGTTTAGATTTTGAATTGAGATTTGAATAGTAAAAATTTCGAATTTGAATAGTTGTACGATGTGATATAAATAGGTGTTGATATGATATTTTGAATGTAAAATTGATTTTTAGTTTAATATAAAAAATAAAAAATAGGTATTTGATTTGATGTTTTTGAAAAAAAATAGAATAAATAGTAATTTTAAAATCCAATCCCCAAACAAACACACCCTTATAATAATAATAATAATAATAATAATAATGAATGATGAAAAAGAATCTATTTTAAGCGGTAATATACAAAATATACATCCTAAATAGTGATTTGTCTGGTTTCATTTTAATTTGAGTTTTTGATATAATGCTTTGTTAGAAAAAAAATAAAAAAAAATATATATATAGATATATTAATATATTTTTGTTGATAATATTGCAAATTAAATGGTACAAATTTTGATTTAAAACCAAAGAAATATACAATTGAACTCAGTATGAGATGTATGTCATCAACATAATATATACTCTCTCCATCATGCAAATGTGTGCTCATTTGATCGGATACGAGTTTTAATAAAAGTGAATAATAATAATTACTTTTTCCTTCTATAGTAAAAAAAATAATAATATTTTTTTACTTAAAAAGACAACGAGAATATTTTTCAATGACAACCCAAAAAGAAAAGTGAATATAAATTTGAATGAGGAAGTGAGTATAATATATATGATATAAACAAACAATACATAAATTATAAGCAAATAAGGGTCTGTATCTTTGGTTTAGTCTAAGAATATTTAATTTAGGTTTTGTATTTAAATAACATTTGATTAAATATTTTGTTTGAAAAAATATATATTTTAAAAAAAAATACATAATTCAAATAGTAAAATTTGAAAAATATTAAACAGAATAACATTGTGTTTGTTCGTTAATGTTTGCAACAAGACATATTTCGTTCGTTAAAAAATTTTATTGTTTGAGTTCATATTTGATTCGAATAAACTCGTTTGTACTCGTTTAGATAAATATAATATTTTATTTAATTTTTACTTCATATATAATATTGTATTTATTTATTTTTAATTAAAAAATTTATATATTCATTTTTTAGCAAATGTTCACAAACAAAGTTCAATTTTATTTAGGGTAAACTGTTTTTTTAGTCTCGTGACTGACCCCCTTATCATTTTAGTCCCGTAAGTGGAGCCTGTCGCAAACTAGTCCCATAAGTGAAAAATTTTCGCTGTTTTAGTCCTCCGGCGCCGGAGACGCCCGCGTGGCTCGCCGGAGGTGACGTGTCCGACAGGTGTTCCGCCAGGTCAGCGACACCTGGCGGACACGTGGATTTATTTATTTTTTCAATTTTTTTATTTTTTAAAATTAAATCAAATTAAAAAATTAAAAATATATAAATAAAATTAAAAATAAGTTTTCTTTAAAAAAAATTTAAAAAAATTAAAAAAATTTAAAAAAATCCACGTGTCCGCCAGGTCAGCGACACGTCACCTCCGGCGAGCCACGCGGGCGTCTCCGGCGCCGTAGGACTAAAACAGCGAAAAATTTTCACTTATGGGACTAGTTTGCGACAGGCTCCACTTACGGGACTAAAATGATAAGGGGGTCTAGTTACGGAACTAAAAAAACAGTTTACCATTTTATTTATATTGTTCGATTTGATTTGTTTATGTTCTTAAACCAAATCGAATCAAGCCAAATTCATAAACAGCTTCATTTGACTACTAGGTTTACCCATAGAAAACAGAGTTATGGATTCAAACTCCACACTTTTAGATCTTGTTTGTTACACACAGTTCGCCTAATATAACTTGGCTTATAGAACATAATTTGTAAGCTATTAAGCTCGACCGAAAATTTACCGAAACACACATAAAAAATAAAGGCTGCGAATTTAGTTGTTTTAAATATATATATGGTTTTAGAACAGAGGGTGCGGAGTAGATATGCATGTGGAGTGTGAGGTCAAGAAAATTAAAATTAATTATTACTATCTGCGTTCCACAATGCGTGTTTTGGTCACCGTAGACACTGAAATTTAAAATAAGTATAATTAGTAGATAATCAATAATGTGTCAGTGAAAATAATTAATTTATAATATAAATTATTATAGATTAAAATTAAAATAACTAATTAGTTTCATTAAAATTTAAAAAAATTTAAATTAAAAAATTTAAAAGAAGATGAAAATGGATAATCATTTTTTTAAGAAAAAGAAAGTGAAATGAGATGTGTGAATAAAAACGGCAACAGACATGATAAATAGGACGGAAGAAGTATTTTTCTTTTATAGGAAGAAAACAAAAATTAAATTAAAAGAACAGTTGGTAGTTCAAGTTCAGACAAAACCACGTGCAAGATTGTCTTAAAAACTGACTAGACTTCATTGGTGTCTCCCAGTTTATATTATTTATAATAATAAATTAAAATGTCATATTTAAATATAAAACAACCAAAAACAATTTAAAATAAAAGTAAAGACAACTTTATTATTCAATTAGTATTATTATTAATTACAAAGTATTATTTTATTTTCTTGTTCGTGGCTCACTTGTCATTTTCTTGCATCGTGATTTCTTCATTCCATGCCCTATATAATGAACCCCTTCCTTCTTCCCATTTTGTACCAATTTCTCAATACTCAAAATAAAAACCCTTTCCATCTTCATCTACATTTCTTTTTTTCTTTCATCAATGGAAACCTCTCAACTTTCCATGGCTACACTACTTTTATTAGCGATTTTCTGGTTCCGACGATCGGTTGGCGCCGATTACGGAGGATGGGAGACCGCTCACGCAACTTTCTACGGTGGCGCCGATGCTTCCGGCACAATGGGTGAGCGCAAATTGCAATACTCCTATTTTTTTTTTTTTTATTATAAAATTAAAATTACAATCGTCTTACAACTTTTGTTGATTTTGGTTATATATCGTGCTGTTTTTTGGATAAATAATATTAAAATTTTGAAAATTAATTTTTGAATGAATGAAACCCAGATTCAAATTTTATTACTTTCAACATCTTTTAACAAGTCATCTATTTTTTTTTATTTTGATCTCTTCCCTAACAAAGTATATATATATATTTTTTATAACTCCTATCTACATATCAAGTCATCTACTATCTATCTAACACTACAAATGTCTTTATAATTTACGATATATTATACAAATGTAATTAACTTTATATCACACAATACTAATAAATTTATTTTAGTCACTTCTATCTTATTCTTACTACATATCAATATAATATTAATATACTTTAAACTCCGTGTAAAAAATAAACGGATATTTACTTACGAGACGTATGAAGTATATTGGTAAAAAAAAAAAATTTAAACATTGAAGAATGTAACATGTGACACCGACATGTTGAGCAGGAGGTGCATGTGGCTACGGCAATTTGTTGAGCCAAGGCTACGGTACAAATACCGCAGCACTAAGTACCGCTTTGTTCAACAATGGGTTAACATGCGGAGCATGCTACGAGCTCATGTGCTCGGGTGATGCTAAATGGTGCCTCCCGGGCACAATCAAGGTTACTGCCACCAACTTCTGTCCGCCCAACCCCTCCCTCGCCAATGACGACGGTGGGTGGTGTAATCCGCCTCTTCAACATTTTGATTTAGCTCAACCGGCTTATTTGCAAATCGCTCAATACAAAGCCGGAATCGTTCCGGTTTCCTTTAGAAGGTAACTCATATATATTTATATATATATATATTTTTTTTCAAAATACTACTATTATTTTTAATTTTGATATTTTAAAATTTTGTAATTTTTACATATAATTTTTTCGCTTCAGTTTGTGTGCTAATCGAGTCAACTCAACTGATTTAACCCAATTAATATATATATACAACACAGACATATATAAATGATAATATATGCTTATACAATATTTAGTGTAATATATTTTAGATTTCCATAGTATTAAACATATGTATATAACACAATATGATATATAAACTGTAAAATATATATTTTTATCTATATGAAATATATGTTGTTTGTATTGGATATATATGTCCTTTTACACCTAAACTGCTGTCAAAATTTTCTTTCTTATCTATCTAAAAGTAATTTATAAAACTATCATAAATAAAAGATAATAATAAAATTACATATAAAAACAATATACATTTCTTTTTATTCTAGTTGGTTAATTAATATTTATATTATAAATATTTGTTGATAATTAGGGTGTCTTGCGAAAAGAAGGGAGGGATAAGGTTTACTATCAATGGCCACTCTTATTTCAATCTCGTACTGATCTCCAATGTTGGTGGGTCCGGAGACGTACACTCGGTCTCGATCAAGGGGTCGGACACCGAATGGCAACAAATGTCGCAGAATTGGGGCCAAAATTGGCAGAGCAACAACAAGCTCGACGGTCAGAGCCTATCGTTTAAGGTGACGACTAGCGATGGCCGAACTATTACCAGCATCAATGTCGCCCCGGCCGGCTGGCAATTCGGACAAACCTTTGAAGGTGGACAGTTCTAAGGATGTCCGAAAATATTTTCGCTTTTTTTTTTTTTTTTTTTAAATTTTTTTTTTCCCCTATGACATAAGAAGGCCAGAGGAGCTGTGGTGGCAAGTATTGCACCCGCTCGTGCCCTGAAATAATGCATACATACGTATTTTTATTTTTATACGTATGTAGTTCTGTATGTATGTACGTAGCGATGAGGTTGTAGGATTTTATTTTTTTTCTACTGTCGTGACTAATATTGGATAAAGTCACTGAGAATATAATTTCGTTTTGTACGTTTGTTGATTTGAAGAATAATTTCTGATTTAGGTAAAATAATTGAATTTGAGGATGATTTGTTGGGTGTTATTATTGTGATGGATTTTATTTACTTTAAATTTAACGAAAAAGTGCAGGGGCATATATGTAAATTTACCTTAATTTCGTCGTTTTCTGATATTATATAAAATGAAAAATAAAATAAAATGAATGGAAAGGGCAGTGTCGAAGTGGGTGATGAGTTCACTGTGCAATCGAATCATTCGCAATTTCTCCGGTCAATTCGTACCCAATTTGCGCCGAACTAGAGAATTCCTGAAGAGGAATTATCGTGGGGCTGTTTCAATTGATACTCTGTACGGGTCGAATTCCGTTGTTTCGGGCCGGAGGATCAGTTTCGGAGTCGGATCGAAGGTAGTCGCTAGGTTTTCCGGGATGTCAAGCGGCGGCGCCGGCGAGGTGGAGTTTCAGCTATCTCCTTCGAGTGTTCTCAAGATTCAGAAAGGAGACATAACTCGGTGGTCCGTGGATGGCTCCTCCGATGCTATTGTAATAGTTTCCCCCTCTTTCGCTGCGTAGTAGTGTGGAATTTTCATTTCCGAGTAATTAGGGTTTCACTTCACCGAAATTCTGATAACTGAAATGGATTGGCGTTCAACTTAGGATCAATACTGATGTAAACACCGCTTCGATCAATTAATTTTAGCAGTTTCTTTCCGGATTTTAAATTATCTCGTAATAATTTCAGTGGTCCACATAATGCATTATCAAATCGTTTTGTGCTGAGTTTCTGTTCATTTATATGTGTGATTCCTTTGTAGGTCAATCCAGCCAATGAACGGATGCTTGGAGGTGGTGGTGCAGATGGAGGTGATTGTCATATTCTCAATTTTCTTTAATATATTGCATAGAGTGTGTTTGGGGTGAATTAAAAGGAATTGTGTAGGTAATATAAAAATAGTTAATGTGTGTAATATATAAATTTTTTTTTGGAAAAATATGTATTTCTTTTTTAGGAATACACAAAATGTTTAATTTATTGGATAAAATTTTCATTTTTGACAGCATAAAGTCTAGATAGAATACCAGTTATGTCCAAAAATAACAAGAAATAAGAATCACAAACGAACTCAGAAATTCTTTAATAATAAAGAGAAATAAATAGATAACGTTGACATCTTTTTTCTGGTTTTGTTTAGAATTTAAGTAAATTTTCTCTTACAAAATTTTAAGAATCTTGCGTCTCTTATGCTATTATATTGATAATCTTGTTGCCTAAAAATAAACATAGCTGTCTATTAATTAACATAATTGATGTTGATGACTTGTTTTAAGTTCTTATCTAAAAAATTAAGGCGTGTGTTAGTGTTCAAAAGCCATGTCATATAGACACATGATTCTTAGTGGTCGTTACTTTTGATTTAGCTTACCCTTATATGATTAATATGATTCATGATTATTTACCTTATTTCATTTTTCTATCCAGCCATCCATCGAGCTGCCGGTCCAGAATTACTTGCGGCATGCTATAAGGTCCCAGAAGTGAAACCTGGAGTCCGATGCCCGACAGGAGAAGCTAGGATTACACCGTACGTGCTTTTAATGAAACAATAAATGCCTCATACTTTTGGTTGCCACTGACATTGTCATAAATTGAGGGCCTGTTTGATATGCGTAGAGGGTTCCAATTGCCGGCTTCTCATGTTATCCATACCGTAGGACCTATTTATAGCATGGATGCAAACCCGGAGGCGTCTTTGAGAAATGCTTACAAGTACGTACTTAAACTTTACGTAATTCCTCCTCATATATGTTTTAATGGTGTATTAATTTAATTTTTTCTGGTCTTGTGTGTGTTACAGAAACAGTTTGGCTGTTGCAAATGACAGCAACATCAAGTATATTGCATTTACTGCAATATCATGTGGCGTCTATGGGTATGTAGATGTTATGTTGTTTTTATGAAGCTAATTAGTCGAATTCTTGTGTTACCGATTGAAATAAACAATTAACTACAAAGAATTATGTTATGCACCTTTTTTCTTGTTTTTTCTGTTTCAGAAGTAAATACTTTTTTGACTTTTCGATTCTTCTAATTATAGGGAAGGAACTACATTACCGAACCATCAATTTAAGAAGAAAATCGACTGATTGTTATTTGATTTTTCTTAGTTTGTGTAGGTTTTTGAACTCTTAACGATATTTCTGACTCATTCTCTGTGGTTTCAGATACCCTTTCGACAAAGCTGCCTCTGTGGCCATCTCCACTGTCAAAGAATTCGCAGAAGACTTAAAGGAGGTAAGTTCTTGTTGGAATGCTTAGTTTTTTGTTGCAATCTGAATTCAACATCTATCGAATCGTATGTTGTGTGAGACCACTGCTGACATTTGAATCATTCCATATGCAATTATCTGATTTTGTGATTGTCGTCAATGGTGGAGCATGGTTACTGATTTTTGCCTAAGTAACATATATTCAAATTATACAATACAGTTTTTTCATGTTTCATGGTTACCTGCAGTCATTTTACACTGTAGAAATATTTTGTGATCATCTCTAAAAAAGTGGCAGCAATCTCCATTCTCACACCTAAGTTCTTACCTAAACTGCAATTTCTTCTTTAGTGTATGAAAATCATAGATGAGATCGCGTACAGGATCTCAGATTTTCGGATTTATAGCTAAATTCTTCATTAATGAATGAAATCATATACGTGGTCTCAACTCGACACCTCTTTTACAATGTGTTTCAGGTGCACTTTGTTCTCTTCTCGGATGACATTTACGATGTGTGGGTTGGAAAGGCCAACGAGCTGCTACGGGTATGATAAACCATCTGCCATTTTCAGGTATAGGTTCCTTAATACGTTGCTGCTGGGATGGTAATAAATGACATTGCTGCAATCTGTTTGTGTCCTATATTTGGGAAAATCCATTCATAAATTTGAAATAAAAATGGCACAAAACAGAGGAGTGATTACGATTATTGACATCTCTTTGTTATTGACAATGAGAATGCAGAAATTAATTGCCCAATGAAGTTTTCAACTAAGGTTGCTTGGATTCATCCCTTCTAATAATATAAAAAATCGAAGGGCTTGTTTTAGATAAGTTTTTAGAAGAGTATTTGGTGACGACGGTATTATTATTATTATTATTATTATTATTATTCCCTCTCTTCCACGGGCGTGTCAATTCGTATTTTTGGGCCGTGTTCGTGTCGGGTCGAGCCATGGGGTAACAAAAAAACTGTCAACCCGAACTCGAAATTTGACCTGAAACCTTAGACCCGAATACGACACGAAGTTTTTCCGATCGGGTTCAGGTTGACCTTATTTTGTTTCAAGTCACCCGAAATCAGACACGAATCCGACTCGAAAACTTTAAAGATTTATTTTTCGGGTCAACCCGAAACACAAAATCTGAAACCTGACTTGTTTTTTACATTTCGGATTATCAGGTTAATTCGAAATCCGACATGAACATGATACAAATTTTTTCGTTTCGGGTTTGAGTTAATCCAATTTTTTGCAGATCTGAAATACCAAATCTAAACCTGAAAAATTTCAGGTCCAACATATTCGATTTTTCGGACCATGTTTAATTTTGAGATCCCTACTCTCCCACGGGTTAATAGGTTCAAACTAAGTGCCTTTGTTAAGGCTAAAAATAAAAATATATTATTTTTTTTTATAAAATAGTATGTCAAAATATTAATTGAACATAAATTTAAATTAATCCTTTATTTCAAATTAATTTTAAATTATTATATATTATATTGAAAATAGAAAAGAAATATTAAATGTAATATTACTAAAAACAAAATTTTGATGCCAAGAAAGGGTTTGTTCCATTTTCTTGTCATTAATGGTTTGTAATATACTTTTATGTATATACATTTGATCTAATTATTTTATAAATAAATATATTTTCTATAAAATTATATTTATATTAAGATAGTAAATTTTAAATTGTTTAAACATATATTTTAATTTTCACAACAAATTCAAGCATTAAAAATCATCTCAAGTATTTTGAAGACAAAAAGGGTTTGTTATGTGACTATAACAAAAAATGTTTGTTTGAAAAAATGTATTTATGGATAAATGTAATTTTGACCAAAAGAACACACTCAAATGTCTTATTTAGAATAGTGTGTTTGTTTGTGGGGGGTTTAAACTTGAGTTTTTAATAATGAAATGTTATTTGAAATAGTATGTAAAATTAAGTTTTAGCTAAATATATTAAATAAAAATATATGTTTAATTTAATATTTTTTGAAAAGAAATTGAAATAATAAAATTAAAATTAAAATTCCACAAATATGTGAAAAAGTATTTGTAATATGTCCATTAAGATATGATTTGTGATCGTTAAGTTGAATTCAAATTTCCATAAATGGTCGGAAAATCGTATATGTGTTTAATAAAAATTGATTCCTTTTTTAAGAAATGAATATTAATAGTAATCTGAAATTGTAGATAAAGACATATATGAATAAAATTTTGCTATAAATAAAATTCAAAGCGAGCTGTGTTGAGCTCATTCATCGTCTATTTACACTTGTCTGTCTCTCTACGGTTCTCCTTCCTGCCCTGCTCGCTCGCACCGACTCGCCAATGGCTCTCCGAACCCTAATCGCCAGAAGGATCATCAAGGCACCGTCTCTTGGATTGCGCGGTCTGCAGACGTTTTCGCTCCCCGATCTTCCGTACGACTATGGCGCCCTAGAGCCTGCCATCAGCGCCGAAATCATGCAACTCCACCACCAGAAGCACCACCAGACCTACATCACTAATTACAACAAAGCTTTGGAGCAGCTCGACGATGCAATCAATAAGGGGGACGCTTCTACCACGGTTAAGCTGCAGAGTGCCATCAAATTTAATGGCGGAGGTACAGAAACTGAAATTAATATTCAATTCAGTTTTTACTTGGTACTTTGTATTCTCAGTTTGGGAGATGGATTGGATTTAGCTTCGTAGTATAAAGCTTAACTGTGCAAGTATTGGAATGTGCAGTTTTAAAGTTAATATGATTCTATTCGAGTTATTTTTGAGCTATCATTAATAGGCTTGGAAATTCATGAAATAAATTGTGGAACTCTGTTATTGGGGAACGCTTTTCTTATGCTGTAATGATGGATAGTGTTTGAATTGGCCTGAGGAAAATTGTGTCGAGTATTTGAAGCTAGAAACATCTACCTTTGTCCGAAGGCTTTAGATTCATGGAGGACAAAAGGTTTCCAGAGAAATTTTGCAGAATCTAGTTGTGATCCTTGTGCTTCATTTGGTTAAACTTGTTGATTTGCATAAGATCTTGTTTCTATCAGGTCATGTCAATCACTCAATCTTTTGGAAGAATCTTGCTCCGGTGAAGGTATGTTCACTGCCTAATGATCTACTGTATCATAATTATTTTCTTTGTTTTGGGAATTAATCGAGATGTAAGATCTAAAATCTCATCATAGGAAGGTGGAGGTGAGCCTCCGCAGGGTTCCTTAGCTGGAGCCATTGACAATCAGTTTGGCTCATTGGAAGCTCTAATCAAGAAGGTGAATGCTGAAGGTGCTGCTTTGCAGGGTTCAGGATGGGTGGTATGTTTATTATTTTCGGTTATAATTGTCGTGTTTTCACAATGGTTATTTCACAAATGGAAATTACAACCTGTAATTCTCCACTTCTTTTAACTCGAATAAATTTTTTGTGATGGTACAGTGGCTTGGTCTGAACAAGGAACTGAAGCATTTAGTAGTTGAGACCACTGCAAATCAGGTAAATAATCTGAATTATGTTGGTAGTTGGCAATGTATCTCCGCGTCGATGCTATAGTCCAAGATAGTGGATTTTTTGTGTAGAACTGAATCTTGAGTCAGCCGAAGCTCTTCATATGATTTGTGGATGTCTACATGGAAACATATGAGATGTTGAAGAGAAGCAGACACCCTTTTTGGGTGGTTGATTAACTATTTTAACTTTAGTGTTGATATATATTCCAATTTCTAAATGCGGATTTTTGGGAAAAATGTCAAAATGATTATGATGAGTGTTCATCGAGGGAAAGTTTTTTCGCGGGGGAGATTGTTGTCGCCTTCTAGATTGACCATACATTATTGTAATGAAGTTGGAAGTTGAAATTTCATTTTCCTGAAATTTGAAACCTTGATGCCAATGTATGATAACATTTTATAGATTATATATGAGTCCTAAATCAAAATATTTAGTTATGGTAAGAATCTGTAACTCATTAAGATGGAATATGTACAGTTCTCGAACCGGTGCCGACTCCCATTTCATTTTTCAGGATCCACTAGTGACGAAAGCACCGAGCTTGGTTCCTCTGCTTGGTATTGATGTGTGGGAGCATGCCTACTATTTACAGGTGTTTTCCCTGCATCAAATTTTCTTTAATTTTATAGATATACTCGAAATTAGATAAGCATTTGCAATATCCTTCTCTATTTTCAATCTGCTTGCAGCATATCAGTGTGCTTTGTATATTGCATTTTACCCAAAAGTCTCCGACTTCTAACACCGCTATGTAAATGTTGCTTCTCAATTCTGCAGTACAAAAATGTCAAACCGGACTACCTGAATCACATATGGTCGGTAATGAACTGGAAATATGCTGGCGAAGTTTACGACCAGGAGTCATCTTGATTCAACGAATGTCTGGAGTCGCTGTCACGGCAATCTGAAAAGCTATTTGCAGTCTATGTTCTGTGTATCCGTTACTGAGATGTGAAATAAAACGACGAGGACACTCAGGCAAGCCTTTCTGTTAGTTAACTCTTTGCCTGTCAGTTGTTCGATATGCAAATAAATGAATTCTTTTCAGCATTGCCAATCCACCATAGCTCTTAAGCGCGTCATGATGCATGCAGTGGTGTGTGTTTTTTTTTTTACTTTTTTACGTTAGGCTCGATGAACCAACATAGTCTTGCTCTTAGCTCTTGTTAGTCGAGTGGGCTCGAGATCTGATTATTGAGCCTAGACCTCGAAACCGTCGACACCTATAGTAATACAACTTTTATATTCATAGTTTATCTGAACTTTTTCTACTCGAATTGTTCTTTTCTATTGTGTATTTTGCCAAAAATTTGAAGTTTATATCGAACAACACGAACTTGTGTTCAGATCAGGCGTTATGCCGGAGAGTCCAATGTTGCTGTATGTATGTATATTAATACGTTATGTCAATCAGATCTAAAGAATTACAAAATCTGTAATGGATTAGAAAAAGATCTTTGTACATGGTAGAGCTAAGTTATTGGGATCTACAAATGGCCTCCTGATGAAATCTGTTGTAGCTCCTTCACGAGGCGCACGCAATCCACCATAGGACAGTTTGTCTTGACTGCATTCGCGTGTATGTGCGACCTGCAGGCCGCATACTGTTCCTGCAACCCGATCCAGCATAATGAAATCGGATCGATAGTTATGATATACATCAGGGACTTAGATAAAGAGTCACCTTGTGGAGGGCTCGCAGCAGTGTATCCAGTCGAGGTGAATTGACCTTCGCCCGGCTCGCTATCTGCCATAGAGAAAAGTTACTCTGTCGATTGCACAGGTACGCTATCTCTCATGAATTATCATCATAATAACAATACCTCGTCGATTTTGATGTATCCAAATGGTAATGCAGGATCGCTCTCGTCAATCATCGCTTTCAGCAGGGCTCGAAGATGTTTCCCCGATGATGTCCCGTTGCCCGTCCAACCCCATTGCTCGGCCAAGTCCTGCATTTCGCCAAGAAATGATGCGCTGTGAAGAGGTCCCGTCCAGAGTGGCCCGGAAACAACAACCGAACCCGAAGGAACCTGAAATCGAAACAAAGATCACAGACATCAGAACTTCACAGTTCACATAAAAAGTTTCGGTTTTTCGCACTCGACCTCAGCACAAGAACAACCCGTTACACCCAAGTCATCCCACGACACCGTCCGCGAATTCCCACACCGGCTGCAGTAGCTGATGAACCGATAATGCCTGCAACGAAGAAGATCGCCGTTGCATCACAAATGCGACATTGAGATCGACGAAGAAACCTTCGATACCTGGTAATACCGAACTTGCCGCGCTTCACTTGAAGCAGCACCCGGAACACGGGGCCGTGGTACGAGTAGTAGGAGAAGAGCGGCACGACGTGATAGCCCAACACGGCGGCCTCCCTCACCGCCCCGCCTATCAGCATTCGCAATCCGACCTCGTTCGAATACGGCACGTGCTTAACGTATGCTCCGTAGGCAGCCAGAGTACTAACAGTGAAGCAAAAGGTATAAACACTACTTCAGCATTGCACATAGATGAATTCAATACGAACAACAATGGCGATGCTAGAATTCAGACTTACTGCTGGGGGCGATGGCCGCCGGAGGAGTAACCGTCGGTGGAAGTGACGTAGAGAAGTCCGTCGAGCTTCACGGCGAGCATGGCAGCTCTGAGGTAACACGACTCGCTCCCGAACGAGTCGACGTCGATTAAATCGAAGTAATTCCTCTCCAGGTAACACTCCGTTAAGATGCGAGTGGCGTCGGCGTGCTTGACCTCCCACCGGCCGCTCGCGGCGGCGCCGGCGGCGGCGTTTGAGAGATTGGAGGAGATAACGCCGCCGCAGTCAGGATTGGCGTCGTTGGCGAGCACGAAGTCGGCGTCGGCTTCGGTGAGGTAGCGGAGAGAGCGGATTCCGCAGCCGGACATTGCGTCGAGCACCTTGAGGACGTTGTTGGACTTTTTGTACACGGCTGCGGCGAGGACGCCGAGGTCGCGGCCGGTGGAGCTCTCGCGGCGGAAGAAGGTGTCGCCGGCGTCGAAGGAGACGCCTCTTTCCGATTGGGTGCAGCATTTGGGATTAGGGTTTATGGATTTGGGGGAAAGGCACGTGCAAGGCACGGACAGGAGATAAACCATTTCGGTATGTTTTAAGATTGATAGTGCGCGCCATAGAGCGTCTCACTCTTTTATTTAATTCTTCCAAAATTAAATATCGAAATTGAACCAAATAATTCAATAAATACTGATTTTATTACAAAAATTTAGTACAAATAGAGAAAATAGTTCCAATCAAGACACATTACACAAATAGCAATAATAATACAACAAACATGTCACCCAAACACAAGTAACAAAAAAGACTTTGAAACAACAAGGATACATAATCCATCCATCCATCGGTCTATCCGATGATCACAGCATCAACGGCTAGGATTAACTGGCAGCGGCGGCGACACCCGATGGCGTGAAAATGTACATCTCGCATGCGTGGGAGTTGACGCGGGCGCTGAACGAGCCAATGCTGTTCTTCGACACAAGTTCATGCTGGCAAAGAAGACGAGTTTCGAAGTTAGTCTTACGAAATATAACAAAAGCAGTTAAGAAGTAGCTATTCGATTCGATTGGATTCGATCTCTGCTTGCTCACCTTCCACAAATCTTTAATTGCGACGCGTGTCGAGGACTCGAGCCCGATAGAATCCCATTTTGCCGTGATCCTCGCAGCCCTCGACCCTCGATTCCATAAGACAACGGCAATGCGGTGCCCCGACAAAGGACCTGCCCACACCTGATACGATCCATCGGGCCCGTTTGCGGAAACCTTCCTTCCCTGAACTCCCAGTGGATCTGAAAATCCAAAGGAAGAAGATTATATAATATGCAATTAATGATGCATTTTTTTTACTAAATTAAGTTTTCAAGTAGAACGATCATTCGCAAGAATGCTACCTTGGTCCACGGCAATGACTTCGTCGTTAGTAAGGATCTCGAGTGTCTCCTCTGTCATGTTTCTAACATCGCAACCGATCAGGAGTGGTGCCTGAAAACATCGAATACGACATTTGATTAACGCAAAATTCGACGGAGACACGAAGTTTATTCCTCGAATACCTTCATCAACGCCCAGATGCTGAAATGTGCGCGATATTCGTCGTAAGTCATCCCGCCGTTGCCGACTTCTAACATATCGGGGTCTGCCGAGAGCATTGATCATTGTCAAGAAATCGAAATCGGGTTCGCTTGTCGAATGTACGAAGAATTAGGTTACAATGTTCGTACGTACCGTTCCATCCGCCCGGCCCGGCGTAGGCTGCCCACTTGTCGTTGATATCGGCGATTTCTGTCATGCTAACGACGAAGTCTACGTTAGTAAAGATCCATGTATAATCGATCAAAAAATGCAGGGGATGCACAATCGAAACCTTGCCCACGAGTCGTTGATGTCGTTCGTCGTCCTCCAGCTGTTCCCGACTTTGCCAGCCCACACGGCGGGATCGTGCACGCCCCTTCGAACGCAAAATCAATTAGTATAAGTTTTTACGTAGAGAAAACGTACAATTCAATTAATCTAGTGGATACCATTCGCAGAGCGAATAGAACATCGTTCGTCCGGATGCATTCAAGGCGTCGCGCATCGGGGGATACCTAAAAGCCATGGATCTGAGTTGAATTTTACGTCTTTAATGTTGAATTTGTATACGAGATATGTTACGATTGTCTAACCTCTTCTCCGGATCTATTCCGAGGTTGAAACAATTGTCGTACTTCAAGTAATCAACTTCCTACAGTACAAAATCGAGACGAGAGTTTTTTTATGATGATCGATGGATACAAGACAAATGCCGAATATTGAAAAATTACCCATGAGGCAAAGAGCTTCGCATCATCGGTTTCATGAAAGAGTGATCCCGGCCGGACTTGGCAAGTATAAGCCCTGCAACAAATTCAATCATATAATAATTATATATGAAATCATATGAGTTTCAGAATAAAATTTTTATTATTTTTTTATTATTTTTTATTATTTTTTTTGCAATCTACAATAAATTCGATCAGATAATAGCGTAAAAGTGATTTTTTTTTCTTTTTTTTCGCACCCTGCATCGGAGTAGATGCCGAGCTTGAGGCCCTTCGCGTGGACGTAGTCGGCGAGAGCTTTTATCCCCGACGGGAAGGTCTTAGAATCCGGGACTAACTGACCCTGCACAACGTTCAAATTCAAAACGGTTGCGTTTTAGATAGAAGTTTTGAAGTTTTTAAAAATTTGATGCGATATTTTTTGAAAAAAAATAAATTATTAATTGATAAACGGTACTAAAACTGTATAAGTATAAAAAAAAAATAGTATGAAACAGAGAGAAGTCTAAAATTAAAATTAATTATGAATTCTTTTAGGGTGTGTTTGTTTGGGGATTTGTATTTTGAATTGTGATTTGAATAATAAAAATTTTGAATTGAAATAGTTGTATAATGCGATGTTTTGAATGTAAAAATAATATTTAGTATAATATAAAAAATAAAAAATAAGTGTTATAATTTGATATTTCTAGAAAAAAAAAAAAACTTAGACTAAATAGTAAAATTTTGATAAAATCTTATAACAGGTCACACCGTTACCTTGGAATCACGCTCGGGTTCAGACCAGCAATCGTCTGCAAAATTCACCACACGCATAATAAGAAGACACGAGGCAAATAAATTATTATTATTGTTGTTATTATTATGCATGTTTTGGATAATTCAATCGAATCCAATCCAAATATCCAATCAAATAAATCCATATAGTATGATGATGACGTGGAATTAATTGAATTTGGTTACGTACCTATGTTGACATAATTGTAACCTAACTTGGCCAAGCCAGTCGACACCAGGGCATCAGCTGAAAGTTCAAGTTCAAACGTCACATATATATATATATTATTCATTTAATTTAATTTAATTTAATTCAATTTACACGCAAAAAAACTAAAAGATTAATAATTAATTGCAATAGGAGCAGCAGATCAATGAAATGAAATAATTCATATTCATAGTAAGTAATCATCAAGCAAGCAACCTGTCTCCCTGATGACTTCCTCATTGATATCACAGGCAAAGTAGTTCCAGCTATTCCACCTGCACATCACAGATACATATAAATATATATATATATATATTATTTTAACAAATTAAGATTAATGATCCAATAAAAAACACAAACGTAAAAAAAATACAAATTTACATGATCCACCGACAGAAACGAAAATAGCTAGTTACAGATTATAATTTCATATCTCAAAATTTATTCAAATAAACTAATAAAATAAATCATACAGGCTCAACATAATACAAATTTAAAAGTCCAATACTACATACTATCGGGTTGGGTACCACTTTGCGCCCCCAGAACCCACGCAATGTGGCAAAATATATTCGGCCCCTTTAACCTCCGATTCGCTGATCGGGCAGCGAAATTTCATAAAAATTCAATAAAATGACCGACTAAATTCAAGATATATCAATATATATAAACCAAAATTCAGAAACACCCAAAACTCCATAAATTAAAACAAGAAGAAATATTAAAGAGAGAGAGACCCCATCTGAGGAGTGTTGGCCAAGCCATTCCCGAGCTGCCAAATCCCATATTTGGAAGTGTCATAAATGTTCTTGTTCAAATAATTAGGTTGTAGAGGCTGAGGCACCACTCTGCCTGACACGTCACCACCTGCAAATAACACCACTACTACTAATACAGACACTACACTTACTGCTAATCCTCCTCCATTACTACTAATCCCCTCCATTAATGAACTCACTTTCTTCTAAATCTCTAATCTTAATTATATTTCTGATATATTATTATTATTATTATTATTATGATTTATGTGTCTTTTAGAGCAGAGAGAGAGAGAGAAAGCTGATGATCATAAGAGACACAGATGCATATTGTGGCAGACCTTTAATATATATATATGTATATATAGATAAAGCACTACCCTTTCTGAATTTAATTCATTAAAATAATACTAATTATTATAATATTTTTAAATTGAGCATAATTGTTGTCCTGGCCCCAAACCTTACTCGAAACTCTAATATAATATTTAATTTGGATTTTAGTTTTCATTGTAGATTTGGATCAGCATTAGCCATTGGCCTGCCTGTCCGTGTTTTTATTCATGACTCAGACCGTTTTGGCTATTTTTTCACACTTCTTTTCGAGCTCCCGGGACTCGCTACGCCGGGGAAATTTGCTATGTCGGGATTGGTGTCCGTTGGTTTGGTGTTCGGGTCCCCGGAGCTTTTGATAATCACTCTAGTTAGAGTTGTTATTCTGTAAAATTTTACTAATTTATGAAAAAGTTGAGAGATTCTTAGTTTAATATTTGTGAGGTGGAATCTTGCACATGATATGTACCAATAGAATCATTGTTTTTATTATTATAATAATAATATTAATTCAATAATACCTCAATAATACTCATAAAGTCTGATTCACTTAAATTTGAGGAAATTATTTATATATATAATACTCTACTTCTCCACTCCCTATTAAACTATTTGTTGTCATTTTCCTTTCGTCTAAATATATATATATATATATATATTCCGTAAAGGATGATCTTGTGGTATGGCAAATAAATTTGTGATCATTGGGTCATAGGTTCATCTGTCACATATAGTTCACCTCCAGAATGTATTTGTCGAGTAGCGACTGCGAATTACTATGTTAAAATATACTCTCTTCGTCCAACTAAAAAATATACATGTTTCTATTTTGGGACGTCCAATTAAAAAGTAAATATTTTATTAAATACCTCACGTTTTTTCACAAATACCTTTACTTTACATCACATCGTTACTTTTACACAAAAAAAAAAAGTAAGGCAAAAATGTCATTACACTACTTTTAACTACCCATTATAATTAAAATACTATTATTTCTTAAACACCGCGCCAAAAATAAATGTATACTTTGTGTGTAGACGGAGGGAGTATATATTAAATATAAACTCTCACTCTACATATAAATAGTTTCAGCGGATTTAATTAGTCGTTTGTGTTAAAGTGTTTATATTACTCCGTTTATCCCATAACTAGGTATCTATTTGCTTTTTGCACGTAATTTTAAAAATATTAGTATTACATTGGGATATAGTAGAAATAAAATATAAATGACTAAAATAACCTTATTAGTATGGTGTGATATAAAGGTAATGATATTTGTGTAATATATTCTAAGTTGTAAAGGTATTTGTAATGTTATGTAAATAGTAAAATTATTAAAAAAATATAATTGATACTTTGTTATGAGAAAGATTAAAATGAAAAAATGGATATTTTGTTATGGGACGGAGGGAGTAGTTGTTTATACGTGAAATATAATGACAATTAAAAACATATTGTATTTTATTTTTTAAATATTTAGTTGTGTTTTTTTTTCATATGTAGAATTTTTTAGAATTTTTATTATTACTCATTGAAAATTATGAAAACTTTATTAAAATATTTACTTTTTATTTTTAAATATTTTTTAAGAAATTAATGTATTTTTATTAAAAAAACATGATTTTTTTTTTCATTAGAAATTGTGTAAAATAAGAAAAATGTATATATATTATTATTAAGTTAATTTTTAATTAATTAATTTTTTATTAATTTTATAATTTGAAATAAATTTATTCTAATATATTTGTTATTTATCAAATAAATTATATGACAAAAAATATACAGTATAAATACATATATTAATAATTATTTTAAATTTATAAATTATTAAGAAATATATTAAAATAATTAATGAATACTACAATACAATGAAAATTAAATTATTACTTATAAACGAAATGACTTGAATAAATTTGTTTTTAAAGAAAATAGTTATTCTAAAAAGCTGGTTATATAACATTTTAAAAATTAGTTTTTAAGGTCAGTAATCTATTTCAGAAAGTTAATTTATCAAACACTTTGAATCAATTTTTTACTGATCAAACAAAAGTTGTTAAAGAAACTAAAAGCTCTCCAAAATTATTGTTTACCAACACCATCTAAATCAAATTTATATATAAAAGTAAAATAATCTTTTAATACAAAAAATATTATTAATTATTATTAAAATATAACATTTATTATACTTCCTGTAAATATATATATATATATCTTACCGTACTTGGATGTGATGTTTGAAATGTAAATATAAATATAAATATTTGTTTAGTTGTGATTGAAAATGTAACAATAATTTAAATTTTTTTTTAAATATAATTTTGATGGTCTATTTTGTAAAAAAAAAATATATATGCTTTTAGTGAAATATTTTATCATATATGATTATATTTATTAAATTAAAAAAATAATACTTCCTTCGTCTCGTAATAATAGACATATTTTGTATTTAATGATTATAGGCTCCATGATATTAATTAATAAAAATATTAATACTTTTGTCATCTAATTCGGTCCTCAATTCTTTTATTAAATATAAAAAATAAATAAATAAAATTGAATACATAATTTGATGACACGGGGAGTACATGATTAGTTCACTTAGCATTGTTTTAAGTAAAATAATATTTCACAAATATTATTAAAAAATACAATATATACATATATTTATATAAATTATTTTGATAGCACAAGTTTGAATTATCCAAGATTGAATTATCCAATAACATTTATATAAAATATTTTATATATCTATATTAAAACACGTACGGTCCCATGCATATAATTCAACTTTTTTAATATTATTTGATTTACTTGTTAAGCTTTGGTTCATTGCATTGTACCGTCATACAAATGCATGTTGCTATTATCTAAGAATTATTTTGTATATTATTTGTAATTTTAGATGTTTTTTTTTTGTTGAAAAGTAATACTCCCTTCGTCCCATAACAAAGTATTCATTTTTTTATTTTAGTCTGTTCCATAACAAAATATATATATTTTTTTAACTGTATTGTACTATCTACCTCACATTACAAATACCCTTACAACTTACAATATATTACACAAATGTCATTACCTTTATATCACACACACTAATAAGGTTATTTTATTCATTTCTACTTTATTTCTACTATATCTTAATATAATACTAATATTTCTAAAATTACGTGCAAAAAGCAAATGGATACTTACCTATGGGACGGAGAGAGTAAAGAGAATTATGAAAATATTTCTCCTCCATCCCATAAGTAAATATTCATTTACTTTTTGCACGTAGTTTTAGAAATATTAGTATTATATTGAGATATAGTAGGAATAAAGTAGAAACGACTAAAATAACCATATTAGTATGTGTGATATAAATGTAATGACATTTGTGTAATATATTATAAGTTTGTAAGGGTATTTGTAATGTTAGGTAGATAGTACAGTACAGTTACCAAAAAAAAATTAGATATTTTATTATGGAACAGACTAAAATGAAAAAATGAATACTTTGTTATGGAACGGAGGGAGTATAAAAAATTGATATTGTATTTTAGTTGATTTTTACTATTTATGAGTTTATTATATTTTATCAGTAATATTTTTTGAAATTGTATATTTGATTATCATTAAAGAGACACACTCTTAAAATCTTCACTTCAATTATGGCTAATAGTTGAATTATTTTATTTTTTATTTTATTTTTTAAGCAATTTCTATCTAAGACCATATTCAATTTGTATACGAATATTTTGATTTAGGTCCATTCTTAAATTTGTTTATATTCCATGAATAAAATGCGGTCATAAATTTCACACTATGTAATTATCGAACTTTTGAAATTTTTTAATTAGTACTGTTGATTATTATTTTTTATTTTCTTTCCAATCACTTATATATCTATGTTTAAATATTAAATTTATTATTATTATTATTATTGTTGTCTTATTTTATTTTATTTTATATTTATTTGAATCATAAGACACATATGTGGTAAATAGGATCTCGCCTGTTAGTATTTTCTACAGTCTATACTTCTTAATTTATTTGAGATATAATAGGGTTTGTTTGTATTTTATTTCAAATAAAAAAATTATACAGTACTATTCAATTTGTTTTTAATAAAAGTATATTATATATATATGTCAAAATCAAATATCATATTCAAATAATATTTAAAATAAATTTCAAACAAAAATCTCAAATTGAAGGCACACCAAACAAACCAGTAAATTTTATTTGATAGTATAACATTTTTACTAAAAAAAATGTTAATGTAATATTTGAATTTATATTATTGCGATTTGAAATTGATTTGAAATTAGTATTGATTTGAGTTTTTTTTTTTTTAAATAGTATGTGATATTTTATTATAAAAAATAATATTTCATCCATCTCATAACAAAGTATCCATTTTTTCATTGTAGTCCGTCCTATAACAAAGTATCTATTTTTTTTAGTATATGTACTATCTATTTTCTTATTACACAAATGTCATTACCTTTATATCACACCATACTAATAATGTTATTTTAGTCATTTTTATTTTATTCCTACTATATCCTAATATAATACTAATATTTCTAAAACTACGTGAAAAAACAAATGGATATTTAGTAATTAGACAATTGGAGTATATTTTTATTAAAAATTGTGAAGAGTCAATAATACCCTCTCCGTCTCTTATCTATTTATTCGTTTGATTTTTGCACAGAGTTTTAGGAATATTAATATTAAATTGAGGTATGATATAAATAAAGTATAAAAAATTAAAATAAATTTATTAGTATTATGTAATATAAAAGATAATATATACTGTAAGTTTAATGTTTTAGGTATTATAGTTTTAATGAAAAATCAATGTTATATGATATTGAGACAGTAATAATTTTGGGCTTATTTGTTAAAATGGATATTACAGTGCACACTTTACATCAATTAAATTAAATATTCTATTTATGAAATTTATTTACCTTTATAAGACCAGATATCAGACTAAA